GCATGGAGACCGTGCGGGCGTGCAGGAGTTGGAGGAAGGGCGGAAGTATCTCGGGTAGATAGGGCAGGAGGCGCACGCCCTCGACGTCGTACAGCTCCTTGACCAGCGTGTTGGCCACCATGTCGTGCTCCGAGTGCGGCGACTTGAGGATGGCCAGGAGCGAGTTGACCGCCCGGCCGAGGTAGAAGTGGTCCCAGTCGCCGTTGGCCAGGTTGTAGATCAGCTTGTCGCTTCCCATCGGCGACTGCGAGATCTTGGCGTAGAACTGGTTCTTGGCCGTGGTGGCCCGCAGCTGCGCATAAGTTGGAACGAGAAATAAACAGTTATATGAGCATACACCACACGCTCGACTGTCTCTTACAGGGCGACAGAACCTTCTTGACGAGCTGGTGCGCTTGCGGCGCAATGGACTCGGAATGGGTGGCTACAGTGGTGTCGTACGTCGACGCCACCAACGTCTGCTTGGACCCCGATTCCTGCCTCTGTGCAGATAGAAACACAATTAAAATGGTAAGCATACTATCATTCTAAATAAATAAGTAAATCAATAAAGAAGCAGTACCCTCTGGATTCCGATCTGCTGCAGCTTGTGGGTGTAGGGATCGAGTGCGCCCAGTATACCGAGCACCTTGACCACCTCCATGCGCATCGAGGGCAGCTGCTGGGTTTTGACCTCGTTCAAGATCAGGTCCAGCAGGTCCGGGTACCGATGGTATGGCTCGATCACGTAGCCTGCTCACACAGAACAAAAGTAACCAAGTCAGCAGAGTCACAGAGTGTGACCGGAGAAGTGCAGGTACCCGTGGCGCAGGCGAGCTGGCCCAGTGCGCGCATGGCGGCTTCCCGCCGCGCGATGGGGCCTTGCTTCAGGGTGTCGAGAATGAGCGGAATGAGGTAGTGCAGGTGCGGCACCACGGTTTCGCGACCCACGCGGGCCAGCTCACCGATCGTCGCGAACACGTGAGACCCAACCTGTCAGGTGCGCGTTTCGTGTGTTATTTGTTCGATCGAACACATGGTGTGTTGTCGTGAGCGACGTTAAGATGAGAGGAGAGTGAGAGTGAGAGCGCGTACAGCGGGGTTGCGCGTGCTGCTGTGCAACAACTCCAGGAGCAGGGTGTCCAGTATGGGACCGACGTAAGGCTTGATGAGGTGGTGCGACGATCGGATGAGGCTGCCCAGGAGTCGCGCGCTCTCCTCCTTCGTCCTGTTGTTGCTCAGCTCTGCATTGCAATGAAGTTGAGTGAGTGCCAAAAAAATGCAACAACGAATGTATGAATATAAAGATGATTAAAAGAGAAGAGGGGTTCGGAACCGAGGCC